TTCATTCAGTTACTTAAGGTGACATTTTACCAAAAGAAGGTGCCTGGACTGGCCTTGGTGAGACTGGCTGCGGTGTTGTATGACAGTCTCTCCCGTGGCAACCCCATAGGTGTTGACATCTTGATTACACCTGTCTGGATTTCGCTGGTCATAAGCAAAACAGACATAGGGTCAGCCAGTATTGGACACTGACTGGATGTCGACAGCCATCTGGATCTTTGTCTGACATCCGAACAGAGGGCAGTCCTGAGATCCTACCTGCCAGGTGACTTGTTTGCCGTTCTGGTAGTGGGTTTCATGAACCTTGAACCTCCACACATAAGTGGGTGTAGGTTGCTCAGGGCCAGGAGGAGAAGGAGGGGAGGGCGGTTAAGGCGGACCTTAGTGGGGCCCAACACCTCACATTTATAGAAGTCATGCTGCTCCGGGGTCCTCTTGAGTCTGGAGAGGCGGTGCCAGGACAGGTTGTCAAGCTGGGGTTGCCAAGCAGCTTGGCCGCAGTGGGGGCTATGAGGATTACAGTGTGAAATCCTGTCCACCTAGGCTCCAAGGCTTGTGGTTGTAGGTTCTTAAGGAGGACCAAGGCGCCAGGGTGAAGGGCTGGTCTTGGGAGTCCTGGTCGGTCGGCTCTGGCTTGGGCAGAAACCTGTTCTCGTGTTCTCAGAGCAATTGCCTGGTTAAAGACAGATCTGGGAGATACGTACCCAGGGGAGGGGGGTCAGTAAGGAGATGGTGGTTGAGCTAGAAGAGTCAAAAGGGCTCAAGAAAATGGGGCTCCTTGGTGTAGCCGGAGTTTGGTCAGGGCATGGGCAGGAGGTCCGGTTAGGAGCTACGAATTTCTAGAGAGTTTAGTTAGATGGTCCAATAGGTTGGGATTGAGTGGCTATGATGAGGGTTCGAACCAGTGACAGACAAATCCAGCAGGATGTAGAGAGTAGAGATTGATGTTAGAGAGTAGATGGAAAGTTGTGTTGATGAGGGTGGGCAAAGGAGTAGGTCCAGGTTCTGCAGGGCGAGAGACAGTGTCCTTTAGTGAGGGAGGGATAGGTCGGGATTAATATAGGTTTTTGATAAAGACAATTATAGTAGAATTGATGACTTCTTTT